AAATTGTTCCTGAGCAGACAAACAGTGCGTTTAGAACAGCTCTTTTAAAAAAGACTTGTCACCTTCTTACTGCTAGTTAAAATCTTGCTGCCACTGTGGAAGACATGCAATGACATATTACACCTTTTTCATAGGATACAGTCAGCCCACTTACATAAATTAATTCTCGATTGAACCTTTTCTTCAGGTTATATAGCACAGTGCCTTCATGGAGCTCCCTGCAAAAAATGTAAGAATTTGTTCATTACTGTTCACTAATTGAGGAAGAAAGCATAACATGCACATGATGCAATGCTTTAAACTGCAACGTCAAAAATGCATACTTTAGTCCAGTCTAGAGACTAGAAATAGAAATGTTTCTTGCTGGATTTTGCTATCCTGTCAAGATAACCACAGATAATCCTGAGCTGTGTATTGGTGGGGAGCTGGCCACTGCAATAGGAGTTCTTTCTCATATGGTACAAGAGTTAATAATGAGATGAACTACAATAAACCTGCCCCCTTCCAATCTTTAAGGATCCAATTAGTAATGATCAGGACTGGATAGGACTGATTGGCTTCAGTAACCAGTAATACCCAGTGAGCACAATCTGGGTAATTTAGCCCGTACTGGAAAGTAACAAAATCCTAGAAGTTCCACAATCTAAGCGATCGGAGTGCAGTAATAATTCTTCTTCTTCTTCTTCTTTTTCACAGCCTTAGTCCCAGACTGTCCTGGGGTCAGCTGCTTTGGTTGCTCTTCTCCACTTGTCTCTGTCGAGCACATCCTCCTCACTCACTTCACATACCTCCATATCTTTTCTCACACAATCCATCAATCTCGTTCGAGGCCTGCCTCTTCCTCTGTTACCTTCCACCTCAAATTCCATTACCCTCTTTGTTACTTCCTCAACGTCCCTCCTCATGATATGTCCAGTGCAGTAATAATTAATAATAATAATTGTTTACACTTATATAGCGCTTTTCTGGACATTCCACTCAAAGTGCTTTACAGGTAATGGGGATCCCCTCCACCACCACCAATGTGCAGCATCCACCTGGATGATGCGACGGCAGCCAAAGTGCGTCAGAACGCTCACCACACATCAGCTATCAGTGGGGAGGAGAGCAGAGTAATGTAGCCAATTCATAGAGCAGTGTTTGTACAGAATTACACAAAATGGATTACTAGTTCTGTGTAAATCTAGCCCCAGATAAAATCCAGCTTTTAACCTGTAGACCAGTTTTTGAAATCATTGGGTAGGTGCAGCGAGCCTCTGGCCAATAGAAAACGTCCATCAGGCGATGTGTGTAGAAGGTACTGCAGCTAAGACTGATTTAAACTGAGGGCTCAATTGAATTGAGCCCTAAAACAAAGCCATTTCAAAGTGCTGCCACATGTGATTTAAATAATACTTACTCCAGCTGGGTCATATCCTCCACCCCATCTTCTTCAGCCTGTTCCCGATACCGCATGGAGGGAAGGGTTCGAATGGAGTACATCTGCATTCAAATAGGAATAAACTGTGTTCTGTATTTCTTGACTCATTTGCACTAACCAGAGACCATTTAAGGTCTTTATAATGCTAGAAGAACAAAGGTCAGATATATAATATTTAATCAAAACCCTCACAAACGTCAAACCGAGTGTGGCAGGCAGCAGATCTAATCACCACCCAAGAGGAGGAAACTGTCAATCTTTATCATTAAGATGCCCGACAGCTGTGTTCCCTGTAGCTGGTGTGTTTGTGCCGTAGCAGGACAAAGGGAGAAACAAGACACACCAGAGGTCCGAAAGACAGAGACCCAAGCCGTAAGAGACCACTAGACAAACAAACCAAAGAGAAGATGCTTATAGGATGAAAAGCCACTTGAGCCTTTTTTTAAAAACATTGGTTTCTAGGGAGGAACAATAAGGTTGTGCCGTTGAACCTGAAACTTTGTTGTACTGTCTCCAGCCAGTACCACCAAGCTTAAACTGCTTCAACACCAACGCCGGTGATGTTTAAATGTACAGCCAGAACAAGCAGACCATCCTCAAACATTCGTAAAGAACCACTTAGTGACATATATCTTAGAGCCCATAAATGGGCCTCAACTGGTTGGACATCCCTCTTGTCAACCATATGCTGAGCATCCAAAGAAACATATCCCTCATAACTGCAGTACATTTCACAAAGACACATCAACAAAATCTCGACATATTAGTGACCAGACACAATGGATATAAATTGATTGTACTGATTAACTCTTGCCATCATCAAGGTTGTTTAACAGGGTGTATACTGTGAAAGTCACGGGTACGTCTGGTCACTATTGGAAACAATATGATCTTTACCAGCAACCTGTAATTATGCATCCTGTAATCATCTGCAACCTGCAATTAAGTTGTAGATGCTGTCTTTTGGAATCCTGTCCTGTTCCTCTTGTAGAGTCTGGACAAGCGTTTGAGTGACCAGTGACCCCTAGAAGCTGGGACAATGGGATCAGGCAAAGGGGCTAAGGTCTGGCAGGTAGGGCATTCACAGATTGACTGTCACGTTCTCATAAGCAAGCTGGTGTTATATGAGCAGCACACGGTGCCCTGCTAAGATGTTGTCACGTCAGGATGAGCCAGCAGGAAGGGCAACAGGTGAGGTCTGAGGACTTGATCAATGTAGCGCCAAGTACTCAGGTTGCCATCAATCATTTCTTGTGACCTGCCAAATCCACTTCATTTGCGATGCAGTGAATTTGGCAGAGAGAAAACAATTACGAAATTGGAGCATGCTGATTTGGAGATTTAGCAAGGGGCAGTGACTCATGGTCTGCCAGAACGGGGCCTATTGAGGACAGACTACATATGCTGTAACATGCTGTAGAAAGTCTGACTTAGTCCAGCCTCCAACATACTGATCACAGCAATGCATTGTGCTCTTGATACGCTGGGCATATTGGTTACTCTTTGTGGTCTTCTTTCATGATTTTCAGCAGGGTTAAAATTCAGAAGGATACCTGTATATCACCCCATCACCTGTGCCCAATCACCTCTTTCACTAATTAGGTGATCACTTAAGTGTATGTCAGTCATGAATGAGTAGGTAATCAAAATGGTGCCAAAAACATTGAATTAATATCCAAAATCCATGTCTTATTTGTCTAAGAACATGCTTGCATAAAGTGAGAACTTTCTTCTTATACTCAGTTTATACATATATTTTAAATGCTTCATCTTTAAAAATAGTTCCTTAGGGATTGAACACATCAATTATTACTGAAAACTATTACATTTCTGCAATATGTAGAATCTTTATGATGTAATAAATCATGTAAACAAATCACGTACCATCTGGTTAATTTCTCTGATTCCAAAGCTTTCATTAAAAAAAAACATGAACAAATAAACGCAGTACAATACAGAAACCCTCTTCCTGGCTTTTTTGGTCTCAGGTTTTGATTAAAAGCTCTCTCTTCCTTGACGTCACAAATAAGCAGCCCCTGCGTGTTTGAGACTGTCAGTGATAGTGCTCATGGCTCATGGAATTAATCCGCGATGAAGCTAAGAGGACAGAGTGCCTCAAAAGTGGTTTGGCAGTAGCTGAGTCTTCATAATCAACCTTGTAAATCAACAAAAAGCACAACAACAATACAGTAATTAATTCAGATGTTTGCCTTTCATATACACAAAGGAAAATCAACCCTCCTAGCCTGGCTTGGAACCAGAGTCCATAAGCATAGCCTTTCAGTCCCGGGAAATAGCTGAGTTGCCAGACCAGGTAAGCTAATACCTGCCTGTCATTTCCTCTCGCACTGGGAATATCTCAGGTGTCTCCCTGTCCACGTACCAGGCTGCCAAGAAAAACCTTCTACTTTCTAATTAAAAGTGCTCCGCAACTCCCAAGAAGACCCCTGCTGATCATCTTGCTTTTTCTTCCTGCAATTCTGAACCAGCACAGAGCTACCCAGGAAATTACCAAAGCCGTGAAGGAATAACCTAAGTTCAATAACCAGTCTATTACGGCTCTTCGAAGTAATGCTGAAATCTGCAATGTCCTGAGACATATGTAGATACCTAATATGTAGAAACATTTAAGTGCTTTAGTAACACAGTAATGCAATACTGCTATAAAACACCATACTTTCATTAACATGCTACACGTTTATTAATGTATTTTTACAGCACTTATGTGATATCCAGTTTGCAGAGACTGTGAGGTGCTGCGCTTTTAAAAAGCTTACTGTGGTTGACAGAGTTGTAAAAACACATACAGTATAAACGATGTCTTGTGTAAAGTATCTGAACGGCGTTTGCCTAATTATTAGTGTCAGCACCGATTTTGTAGAACTATCCACACCCCAAAGGTCTATAGGTTTTGTACGGAGTTCTACGTTTTGTGTTGCAATTAGCAGTCACTGAGTGTGTGCTATATCTCAAAACCATTCCTTGACCCCCAAACTCAAGGAACCTTAAACATCGTTACTTGTTGTTATTCTGCATGATATATACTGTAATCTTCCACTTAGACGTTAAGACAATGTGGAAACCCGTAAATACAGCATTTAGAGAAATTGGGGTTTTCAGTGATTTTAGGCACCGGTAAGATCAGCTGCTTTTACCTTCTTATACCATGGCCCTTGCCTTTCACCTTCTGTGTCTGGTTCCCAGTCACTTTCAGAAGTGTCCGCGTGTTGTGAAGTGGAAACTCCTGTCAGGAAGTCAGACACATTGTCCTCTCTGTACACTGACCATTTGGTCAGGTTCTGCACAGTTGGGAGGGGAAGGACTCTCTCTGAAGACCACACATCCTGCAGCTCTTGGACCTCCCTCGTGTGGCTCTGAGCCCAGTGCTGCTTCAAATGTTGGGGGGCTCTGGGCGACGGTCCCATCCTCTGAACCTGAGGCATTACCACTGCGTATCTACCCCCGGGGTCATCCGAAGAATGCTCTTCTTCGACTAGGCTTGGGGAACTCGTTCTCGGGAAGCTTTGGGGACCCCGAAATGAAGAAGGTGAGTGTAAACGCCCGTTGGTTCCTGGAGGAGACTGTCTGAAGGAGGCTCTGTGCAGGTGAGGTGCACCAGCTAGAAGAGGGGATGAAACATCTTCTTTCACCTGGCCATATTTTTTCACCATTGGAGAGTGAGGAGCGGGCTCATTGGGTGAGGCTGCCCTTGAGGGAGTCGGGGACCCTTGTTTAAAGGAAGGGTGGGGTGAAGGAGGTCTGTGGGGTTCCCTAATACTTCCCAGTTGCTTAATTCCAGCCTGTGGGGATGGGGGACGGAAAGCCTTAGTTGATGGATGCCTTCGAGAGGGCTGTGGTGACGGTGGCCTTTGCTGTTCCCCTACACCTGCAGGTCCAGTTTGTTTAAGGAAAGGATTTCCATCTCTTCCTTGCTTTGGAAGAGGTCGGCCACGGCCAAACATTTTAATATGGGGATGTGGAGGCACAGAGGCTGAAGTGCTTTGCTGCAGAGAAGGCGGAGAGGAGGGGTGTTTTAACGAAGGTTGTGGAGATCCAGGCCTTTGAGCTTCATTAATACCTGCTTGACGATTCTCCCCTCTTACCGACTGCCTCAGAGAAGGAAGGTTCCTAGGAATCCTGGCCACAGGACGGCCCCTGCCCTTCAAGAAAGGGTTTCTTCCTAGTGCAGGGGGCTGTGACATTTTTTGGGAATCTCTTATTGCTGGAGGTTCAACCCCTGGTCTTACTGACATTCTCCTCGAGGGGGACCTCTGGATTGGCATTTCCTCTTGTCCTGCTGGATCCCCCACAGGATGGGGGGGTGCTCTGCCAGGAGGCAGACCAAACGGGTTCCGAAACGGATTTCTTTTAACAGCTGATGGGGACGGTGGAGGTGAGGCTCCCTGTGGCCTTTCTGGATTTCCTGGACCTGAAAATGCTTGCCTGCCTCTTACTGATGGTCTAGACGGGGGAGCATTTGGTGGGATTGGAACACTTGGATGCCCCATTCTCTTCAAGAAAGGATTGACCGCCCCTGTAACCTGCCTATTTCGACCAAATTGTTTAAATTTGGATGCAGGACTTGTTACACCATTCACCCCATTGACAGAAGGGCCGAACTTTCTTGATGGTGAAGGGGAGGGAGGTCTTTGGCTTCCTGGCAAATGAGGGGAAGGTGGGCGTTGGGGCTCAGCTCCTGCAGAGTGACTCAAACGTCGCAAAGGTATGGGTGATGGTGGCCTTTGAACTCCTCCTCCAGGACGCTCAAACTTCTTCATGAAAGGATTTCTAGCCACTGGGTTTGGGGCACTGCCTTGAGCTTTAAACGGAAAGATTTTTAATTTTGGATTGGGAACAGGAGATGGGGCTCTCCGCATTGGACTTGGGGATGATGGCCTCTCTACATCTGCACGCCGAATACTGCCGGAGGTTCTCAAACTTGGCTGAGGGGAAGGAGGTGGGCTCCTTCTTCTTAAAGATGGTTGAGGGGATGGGGGTCTTTGAGATGGAGATGGAACTGGGGGTCCACGATTAGGTGGTCTGCCCAACTTGTTCAGGAAAG